TTTCCGTTTCAGCTATAACGAGAGAGTTTCTAGAAGTTTCTAGAACTGGTAATTGGAATGTAGCCAGTGAACTTCACATCTCATTTGTTTTCTTTTCCCACGGCCTGCTAGCAGTTTGTGCGCGCGTAGGCGAGCGGAACGCGACGACGACGGCGACGAAGAAGAAGAAGTAAACGAGCCGCACGTTACTACAGAACCCGTCGGCAAAAAACTGCATTATTTGAGCGTATGATGCGTGAACGAAGGAATGAGGAGAAAAAACACCGACGATTGTACAGTTGACGGCTGATCGCGAACTGTACGTAAGGCGTAACGTCAACGGGGCTAAGAAACACACAAAAGCGTAATGGAGCATGTAAAAGCAAAGCATAACGTATTTTCTGCTAGATCAGGCTAATGGCAACTTCGTGGTGATGTGGGAACGTACAGTGGTAGTTGAGGGGGGGGGGAGGTAAGGAGAGGGAAGAGGGGAGGAAGGAAATTATCGCTGTTTGAGTTAATACTTTGCAAGAAGAATCTAAAAAAACTACCCTGTAGCAGTAGAAGTTGGGAAGAAAATTGGGACAAGAGAAAGGAAGGAGGGGGGGGGGGGTCGGAGAGGTGACAGTCTAATTATTCGAAGAAATCTGATATATTCTTATATAACTTTTCAGATCAGTGGCCCCCGCAGAATTTTATTTGCGTAAGGGTGGGCGTTACAGAAGCTCTTCGCAATGAAGGACAGTTGCGTCAAAATTGCCCTTCAAAGAAATTTTTGGACCTTAAATTTTCTCAAAATCTTGATTCTCGAAATTGAAGGAAAAATCTGCTAATAGTCCACCTCCAAAAAAATTCAGACTAAGTTTAATAGAAGATTTACAATGTTATAACAAATATTCGCTGACTCCTAAACCGTTAGTGCATTTTTGAAAATTTCGCGAATTTCGGTAGGATACCATACTGCTTCCATAGTTGTCTCTTTGCGGAAAACTGCTACAATTCCCCACCGATCTTTGCTGCACTTTGTACCAGTTGTCTGCATGGGGGAGAGAGGAGTCCAGCAGTCTAGCGCAAAAAGTCACTATGAAGTAATTTCAGTTTCCCAATAGGCTCTTTTTGAGGGCACCTGTCACGGAAGGAAAAACAATGATCAAAAATTTATTCAAAAAATACGCAAACTTTCGAATTCTGAATTTTTCCCAGAGACTTTTCCTTTTACTTGCATTGACAATGAACGAGCTGCCCAAGGTGGGCAAACAGGAACATGAAATACAGCAAAAACTTCGCATATTTTCAGAATCGATTTAACATGAAAAATCGCTCGGGTTGTGTCAAAATTGAACAGGTTTTGAATGTTTTTCTAATCTCGATAGAGGTGATGAGAAAATTGATTTGACACGTGATCTCAGGTTTAGGTAAATAAAATGAATAATTATCTCAGATCATCAATAGTTCATGCTTAGAAAATATCTGCTTGAAAAAGATAGGAACATTGTTCTTCTGAGGAATTTTTGCAAAATCGATACTCATCACAATAAAAATTCATCACGTTGGGAATTCGGCACAGATTACCAACAATATATTACACGGAAAAATACATAAAAGGTAAGGGCCAAGAATTCGGGGCGTAGAAAAAGCAGAAATTTATGCAGATGCACAAATAATTAAATTATCTATCTAGCGAGGAGCCCATTACGAACAGAAATCAGAAGACCAAGACAAAAGGGAAAATCGAATAGAGCAAAAAAAACGAAGGTAATTGAATTTCTGCTTCAAAACGATGCGAAAAAGAAAGCATTTCCCGATTTCCTTGCCCTACAAAACGACTATAGAAAACTAATAGGGTAATGTTCAATAATTACAGCAGTAGAAATTAATTCGTTCTGCGACCAACTAATGTTTCGGTAAAAATCTAAGTGCCAATAAAATAAATTACCACAAACTGGCTATAAATTTCCATTACGTTCTTGTTTCTTTTGGACAGAGAAATTGGACGACGGAGGGAAGGGTGGAGCAGGTACAATTCATTTTTAAGAAATCAAGTGCTTCTTACCCGTAGGATACCATTGCTTTGAATAAAACGCCAGTAATGTTCTATAAAATGATGAAATTATGTAATATTCACAAAAAATTCACTGGAGCTGGGACTTTCTAAACAAAAAATTGTGTTTTCACTGGGGTGCTTGCTTGATAGTCGAGATATTCGGGATTTTTCATTTTCTATCATTTTCTTTTCTTTTGCCTTAACTGGGGATGGAAGACAATCAACTATGCTAATCTTAACATCATCTTTGCTGACACGTTCTTGCCTTTGCTTTGAAGTTGATTGATTATACCTATACATCAGAGAAAAAACTGGAGTAAGGGGGGGGGGAGAGGAAGTAGGTCGACGCAATTTTTCCACTGAAAATATTAAAATTTTGTCACTTTCTGAGAATTTTGCGAGCCAGAGTTTCCTGGGGCATTTGGCGTCATTATAAGCTGACTAAGATGAGTGCCCAAAAAGTGATTTTTCAATTTTTGGTTGTTAAATATGCTAAAACTCCACATAAAAATTTATTTTTGGTGTTGCTTTTATGTCCTACTCTTTTTGTCTAATAGAATTGGTAATGACTGGATGTCTCTAGGAATAGTTATGAATTTCGATTTTTTATTGATTTATTGATTTAATTTTGTTTCATACTGACTCTTTTAAATGTGCTTCAAAATGCTATTTTCTATAAAGAGCATAAAGAATCGTAATGCCAATTCAAAATACATCAATTACGGGAAGCCGCGGCGGGTCCGGAAGCGAACGCTCTTCCAAATAGCACTTTGAGATTAGGTGCTGCTTTCGATTAAGAGCATATTGTGTAAATTGATTTGTTTCTTTGAGCATTTTGAAATGATTTTTCTCTATTTTTGGTGCAAGAATTGGGAGTAACCGGGCTGAAAAGATTAAATTAACGAAAACCAATTAAAAAGAGAAGTTCTATGTTTTGAGGAATTTTGAACAACTTATCAGTTCGAATCATCTTATACCACTTGACCAACTTTTAAGAAGAACATAAAGAGTCAACGCTTGAAGGTTTACTGTTCAAAAGCGCTTTTACACATCGTACCACCATTTAAAGATTTTATTGATATTAAATCCTTCGTAAAGTTAAGAAATTACACAAACATCAATGAACAAGTTGTAGTCACAACACTCCTTTGAAGATCTGATCATAGTTCAAGCAAATGCTGAGGAAAGTGAATGAGTCACATAACCTTATTCGGTAGATGATTCACAATTCATCAAAGGCAGACAACTACCGGCGCCTACTGAAGTTAAAAAAGGCGCTGTACTAGTCATCGGACTTTTAGCAGTAGCTAGAACAAAAAACGCTTTAGGTTATTTTCCAAAAAAAGTGGGGGGGGGAGGAGTTAGAGAGTGAAGCAGGAGGTCAGTTGAGAGAAAGACAAGTGAGGGGGGGGGGGGAGAATAAATCCAATTCGTCCTTTAAAATTTCTTTGAAGGAATAAGCGTAGTACATATTTAATAAATTCTGAGGTCTTATTGTCATAAATCTTGAGATTTCCGTACCCCTACAGTATGACACCAGGAATCGTGCTGTTCATGTGTGAAAATTGAAAATTTGAAGGACTGAGGCCAAAGTTTTCCCAAAAATCCTTGAAAAAGAAGGTACATACTATGGTTATTTGGACGATTTAACTCCACTTTTTGAATTAAGATATTCTTAAGAATACCCCAAATATATTTTCAAAAGAAACTCATTTGAATACTTGGCGGCATGCCAAGTACTACCGTAATACTACCGTCTAACGCCAGGAATCAAAGCAAACGTTTTTTATACGTCAAAATATAATTCCGAAGTATTCAAAAAAAACTTCTCAAACATCCCTTTGTAATATAACGAGGGGAAAGTATTATGTATTTACTATATACTCATCTGTTGGCATTGCGCCAGAATTGCATTGAAGAAAGCAGAAAAAGACTAAGGTTTACTAATTTTGCAACCTACAAAAAATTACGAATCATTTTTAAAAAATTCCAAAGGTTTTTAATGGTGCCCAATGGTTTGTGGAGTATTTGAAAAACTGAAAAACCCGAAAAAGAATTTTCAGTTTCAAGACTATTTTCGCTGCCGCGCTGACCAACCCCTGCTCTCCAACGCCTTTACCCTTTCCAAACAACAAAAAACAATGCACTAATGCTATAGTAGAACGAAAGTAACACACAGAGACTGAGCGATGTTGGTTGTACCAGTTATCGATTCACAATCAACACCGTATGTTTGTTAGAACGTTGGAAAATTACGTGCTCTCTCAACACACAACCCAAAACGAGTCGATATAGGGGCAAGGGAAGAACGATCGGTTGGACGAAGTGGATCAACAGGAAGAATGTGTGAAAATACGAGAAAAACAAGAGTGGAACGCAGATTTAGGTTTATTGATTATCCCGATTAAGTTTCAGTGTGAGAAGTAGCACGAGAATTTCTTACCGGGTCACTAGAAGAACAGAAAAAAACCAGGGCACACACGGGGGTGAAAATTATGGTTTTCTGCTGATTTATGGTGCTAAGTACGGGGCGAGTTCACTACGTATTGGCGCACTTTTGAAATTTCTTACAAGACTTGAAAATCCTTTTAAGTATTCGAGAAATAATCAAAGACCAGTTTTAGCATATGAATGCATGAATTGACCATCTAGACTACTTTTTTGGAATTTTAGAGCGTTTTTGGACAATGCGCTAAGAGCTGATTGCAAGAGTGTTGCGTAGTGAAGCTATGTATTAACCTGGCTTTTGGTGCAATTTTGCGTAGAGGTATTGCAAAATCTGTAGGTAAAGAGTGCAATATAGAGGTATAGAAGAAAGTGGAACTTACAGAAACAAAGGGAAAAAGTTAGAAAAAAACAAAAAGAAAAAAAACCTGGTCAACTGAAAAGTCAATTATCAGATTCAAAGCAGATGTGGAGCTGAACAAGGGTGAGCGGAAAGGGGGGGGGGGTGATGAAAAATTTATCAAAATCTTACCTGTTCTACAAGGAACACAAGTATTAGGGCGCGCATGTGCTGCGGCCGTGCGCGATGACTGTGAGACTTGTGTTCTGTGACCACGCCCTCCGCACCTCCGACGTCGCCGCCGCTACCGCCGCCGCCGCTGTCACCACCGCCGTCGCCAGTAGCACCGCCGCCGTCGAGAAGGCGCAGACGGCTGCAGAAAGCCTATTGCGATGCGTTACGTATACGTAACGTATTGCGCAACACGCTAACGCTAGCCAACTATCGCAAACTATATCACCTGACCGTCAAGGACACACCCAGGTAGCGCGGTGAGTGTTGACGATGTAGAACGATAGTGGAAAAATCACCCCGAACTATAACAGTCGTTTACGACACCGTGACGACTTTACTGGGCTGGCGTAGATTGATGACTACTGACAGTGTAGTAGATGTTTGCGTATCACACACACACTGTTCCGTTAAGATCACTGTACAATAGAAATGAAAGCAGAATAGTCCGATTAGTCTTTTCACATTGAATAGTTTTGACTTAACACATTCATACGATCACCGGTGCGTCGTACGTATTCTGCCATTTTGGACAATACGACCCACCGGTGAGTCGTAAGATTCCTAAAGCTCCAGCTTTGCCAGTATACGAGGGGATTTTACGAGGTTCTGGCACATGATTGAAGGAACACCTTGGCGATGTTTCGGCCAGAGTGGTCCGGATTGGGGATACTGTAATGTGATGTTACGGTAGGTTTACGTAGATAAAGGTAAGGCACAGACTTTAGCTCAAATTTTTCGCAGAGTAGTGCTGTTCTTGAAAATTCAAGTTTACATGTCACCGGGAATACGGGAGGGGACAGTTTGATGTCAGCCCACCAGAAAAGTTTCGATTTTATTGATTTCATTGAGTTTTCGCATTGTTCATCCTAGGAAGCTCAAACCTTACATGTATAGGTTTTGTAGCATGCTGATTACGACTATGAAGTCTCAAATTCTAATACTGCCCTTTTACATCAGTTTCTCAATTTTTGCGAAAATTCTACCGTACTGCTACCATAGTCACACTGTGGGAAAGTAGTGAACAAAGTGGACACTGTAATCGTGAAATAACCCCAAAACAATTTTTCAATTTTTCTTGAAAACTTATTTGAATTCGTACAGAATAATTACCGTAAGCTTACCGTATACTGCCAGAAACTGAAATAAATCATATTTTGATAATCAGTGCCTTCGATAACCCTTGTAGGGAAATTCTCGCAGACATGTTTTGATTATTTTACAAAAAGACTACCATTCCGGACAATACACCCACGGGTGGGTCGTAAGTTTGACAAAACGAAAAACTGCTCCGAAATGGCAGAAATCGAAAAATCGCCTTGTTGTAAATGTGGTAATGTCCATTGCCTAGATTCCGGGCAATTCAAAAAAATTTTCTTTCCGTTTACAGAAACCTACCTGCTATTTACACTCCTCGACCGGAAAAGAAACCGAGCGGAGCAGTTTTGCGGATGGCTGATTTCCGAATTTTTCAATTTTCAATCTCAATGTAATTCACAGTAATAAGTATGGAAAAACTTTTTAGACAACTTCAAAGCAAACTTTTGGAGTACTTGGTGCAAGACTTATGAATTAGCTACATTATTAGAGCTTTCAGAAAACTCTGCACCGATCTTGTAGTTATTTGAAGTCCAAGCTACTTGTAAACTGCAAAGCTATCTTCAACAATTACCATTTCTTGTCTCAAATAGGTTGACTGCTATATTTTTCATACCTTTTATATTTATAGGAATTTGCAGAGTAGAATTTTGGAGAACATTGGCTGGCCTGACATCGGATTAATAATTAGTTATACAGACTATGATTGACTGACTGACTAGGAATTATGATTTACATTGATCACTGAGGACATTGATCACTCAAAAAATTACTTCATAGATTTGTTGCAGAAATAAATAATCAGACAAAAATGCGGAACCTCATGTACACGAGACATAAAAGAAGAAAGACCGCCTCGAAGCATTTTCTACGTAAGCATCGACACAATTAGTGAAATGTCTAACAAAAACTCAGATCTTGGCCCTAATGCTTTAACCGGCCCTATAAATCATCACTGATCCTGTCGAACATCCTACTATACGGATACGTTCTGCATTATCTAAGCAACAAAAAGATTCGGGACGTCCGCATAAAGGTCTGCCTGCGCAAGAATACCAAAGAAGATAAGAGATTATTGAATGTTGCTAAGGACTAAGAAACAAAAAAATTTTGACAGACATCTTTCAGCCATTCTAATTAGGTTGTCCAAAGAGGAAACTCCTTCTTTAGATGATTCAAGCTTTTTTGCTTTCCTAAAAGACTTAGGGTACCTTTCGGTAGGGCAGAACAAGCTCTATCAAAAGGTACCCAATGACCACCAAGGGTGCGCCTAAGTCGCATTCCATGTAAAGTTCGAAGCCAAAATCGAAAAACAAATCTGTCACTTGAAAATCGGATTTTTGCGAGGAACAACCCCACGAACCTCCAACTTGGTCATGATACAGTAGGTACATGATAGTACTCAAATATGCCTTAATGGACTTAGAAAGCGAGAAAAATAAGACAGGTCGAAAATGACAAACTCCGCCCCAGCTCTTTCCAAATATGTCAATAAATACTGTAAGCCTTACTAAATATAATCTCAAATTTTATCCCTTTAGGTGCTCTTGTATCCATGAAATACCAAGTTTTACATGAAACTCGAGAAAAGCGGCATTTTGGCATTTTCGGACCTCTTCGTCTCTCAATTTTGAACCCCGGAAAAATCCACCAAATACATTTTTGGATACTACTGTTTGTCTGTTGTATAGAGACCAAGTTGAGAGTTTATAAGAATTTCCTGGAAGCAGATCCGATTTTCAGAGTAGCTGAAAACCCGATCTTCAGAGTAGCTGAAAATTTTTGATATTTAGCTCCGGATTTTGCCTGGATTACCACTTAGGGCTCCGCTTTATCGAAGGGTACACTAAGTCTGCTAAAAAAATAGAAAAAGCTCGATTTATTTGAATGGCGTTTACTTTTGGAACAACCTGATAGCCTGATAGTTCTTCTTTTACTCACTCGAAATAAAATAATAAATTTTTCACATAGACAAGCTAAGCAATCTTGATTTTGAAGAACGAAACTGACGTACTAAGGAAAAATCAGAGTAATCAACTATAATTTGTAGGAAAATCCAGAAAAAGAGCAATTACACAACCAGACGCCATATGACGAAGGGTGATGTGAAGTTCTAGTACCGATAACACAGTGCGCAAATTAGAGACTTGTAAAGTGTGTCCAGGCTATTTTTATCACCAGGGTTTCTTGTGGAAACTGATTTCTAGTTTTTAATGATGTAACTCAAGCGACAACCCATACGATTCACTCTTAAGAGCTATGAACTTTAGCTCTCACCCAGCACCGTACCCTTTGGAGCAATCAGCGTTTTCAAACGGTAATGGGCAAGAGCTAGATCTGGATTTCTCAGCTACGAATAAATCATAGAAGTGCTTCCACGCAAGACCCAAGTGCCCACTTTTCCTACACTGTTTCAGTAAGAACTACTGTAGCTCAGCAGTGCTATAGCATGCTTACTATGTCAGCATCAAACCCTAAAAAACAGCGTGGATGATGGCATGGGTCAAACAAAGTAGGCACTTTCACCATGACACTATAACAATGCGCAATAAATAGTGAGAATAAAAAACAGAACAAAATATACATAGAAGTAAGTGTACGAAAAGACAAAAAAATAAATACTTAGCTAAGATATTGAAAGTATAAGAAAACTTGTAGTTACATATTCATTGCAAACATTCGACCTTAAAATTACAAAATTCTACAAAAATAAAACTCTGAGTAAATTATGAAATGGAAACAGAATAATGATAGTTTGAAATTACAAAGTCAGTATCTTCATTTATGCATTAACAACTTTCGATGCGGCCATATAATGGGATAGACGCGGTTATTGCAAGTAAGTCATCTACATTCATATATAAATTTATTTTTAAATGTATTGCAGTTAACTGTGATAAAAAAATTACTAAATTTCAACTTTTCACTAGATATATTAAGTCTCCTTCATTGCTGAGGAGTCCCGGGAAAGATTTGGAAATTAAGTCATCCTCCGTCGAGGGAAGGAACGAAACGGGATGAAAAAGTACCATATATAATTCTCTCTCTTATTGTTACAGAACTGCAAGAAAAGTTACCGGTTTGAGCCAGTTGTACTTATATCGCTCCATAAGAGTATGCTAGAGAAAAAGAAGGAAGGAAAAATGTTTGTTTTAGAGCATTGATAAATGATCAAGGTTTGATCTATTGGGTTATCAACAGGGTCAAGCAAGGGGTGTGGCACACGATCGCTGGTTACGACCCCCCCCCTCTTGATTGCTGTCTTAATAAGACCTCCCCCCCTGAACTATAGACGTAAGATAGCATTACCAGAGTTGAGAAAGAGGTCAGGCACAAGTCTTTCGAATACCCTCCCATGAAAGCCCTCAAACGACCCCTTCTTCCTCCTCTTAATCTCTGGACCTCAAAGTGTGACATCCTGGAGAACACCATCCTTTTCTAGAGAGTTTTCAGATTTTTGAGAGCCGTACGCCCGATTTTCTGTGACTGCACTTTACAATCACACGTAATTTGGCGGCTGATTTTGATCTGAATGGGCATATTGAAAGGGCCATAATTTTCTTATGGGTGGGGCGTTCGGCTCCAAATTTCCAGTGTAGCAAGAAGAAGCTATGTGCTCAATACTCATACCAGCAATGGAGCGCTTTCTGGATTATGAAGGCAAGTTAAGGGGTGCGGCACACCCCCTCAAAAGCTGCGGCGGCCGCAGCTTTTAAGGGGGTGTGCCGCACCCCATTAACTATATCAAAAAAACATTTTTGGCGGACGGTATTTATATGAATCGATAGCCTAAACCTTGTAGATTCCATAGGACTGTTCGGAGCCTGATTCGTCTTCTTAGCTCTGAGTAATATTTGGTGAAAGCACAGCGATCAAAAGCGAAAAATGGGAAAAACGAGATTTTGGTTGGCTTCTAATTCCACAGTTTGCAGGTCTTCTGAAGCGGGAATCCTGAG